GGTATGAAGTGTGCACTTTCATCTGAAAGATCGTTTTGTTATGTTAAGTGTTTGAAGCAGTGCGGTGATAGGAGAGAGATTAATCCAATTTTTGCCTGATCTTTGTACCTCACTGTCCAATTATATTTTCACTTCTCAATTTCTGACATGGGATGCGCAAGAAATAAATGGTAAATAAAACGAACCATCACACGGGCAAAGAAACTCATCTTTCACTGCATTATCTCTATCTTTTCTGTTCTCTTTACATTTAGTTAAATGGTCCATTTCAGGGAATTCTGTCCAAAGTATAACTTGCCTCCAGATGGGACTGGATCTTGGACTGAAGCAGATACTTGACACACATCAAAATTCTAACAAAATGTGTAGCATCAAATTTGGTGAAGCTTCAAAGATGGTGCAAGCTATCACATCTGATTTATGTAAAACGGTCCCCATCTCAGAGGAAGTGGTTACTGCGCTGTCATCTTATCAAGCTAATCGTATGGATGATGTGCTTTCACGAATTGTCAGGAAGTATGGTGATAAAATTTTGTTAAGTGAATCTGATAGAAAGCCAAAGATCTCAAGAAAGAAAGCAAAGAAATCATCTGGCAGAATAGCAAACAAACATAGGCCAACAGAAAGCGATGAAGAATGGCAAGGTCCACCACCCTGGGATGTGACCTCCGGTGGGGATGGGTCCCCTAAGTTTCTATGTGATGTGATGGTGAGACACCACATTTAGATACATATGTTACTTTTCTGTAAAACTGATACGCCTAGGCTTCTTTAATGCCCTCTCGTGCTGTAAGGTGGAGAGTTCTGCTTTTTTTTCTTTCTTTGGGATGCCAAACTATGGCACTTTTTGCTTCTTTTTGTTGCTGTTATTGGAATGCTGTGGTAATCTTTCAGGTTGAAGGATTGGCGAAACATTTAAGATGTGTCGGCATTGATGCTGCTGTTCCTTATTCAAAGAAGCCTGACTCAAGGTGCTGAATGGTTTTCGATTATTTGACATAGTTAATTCTAAATGGAAACTCAGTAGCCAACTGTTTTCTCTAGATGGCATTCCTTGTGATATCTTTTCTGTTTTTTGTTTTCTTTAGGGATTTGATAGAACAAGCCTGTAAAGAGAAGAGAGTACTCTTAACACGAGATGCAAAACTTTTGAGACATGACTATCTCTTAAGA